CCTGAGTGGCTCAGTCGGTTAAGCATAGGGCTCTCGGTTTCAGCTCAGGTCATGATCTCATGGTCTGTGGGATTGAACCCCACATAGGGTGGCTCCGCACTGACAGCATGGAGCCTGTTTAGATTTTCTCTTTCTCCCTCTCTCTCTGCCCTTCCCCCACTCACACACACACACACACACACACACACACACACACTCAAAATAAATAAACTTAAAAATAAATAAAAATTAACAAAAAAATTATGAGAACCATGGCATCACAGATGGCAGAGTAAAAGTACATTTTCTGCCTTACTTGAATCCACCAAATTCAAAAAATATATATAAGTCAGAATTCCCTTTTCAACTACCAATGATTATTAGACTACACTAAAGTTATGCAGGATACCATAGTGAGAGATAATGAGAGCTATCATTAAACACTTTCCCAGGCTTTAAACAGAGAATTTCTTCAAAAGTGGGAAGGTTCAGAAAAACTTGATCAATGAACTTTTACCTAGATTTCTGGGGATCCTGCTTATGGACCAAAGAGAAGAAAAGACTATTGTTTATTCTTGTTCCTTACAGCAGACCAGTAAGGGGATAAGTTTCAGGGAGAAATGTTATCGATGTGCTATCTTTATTTTTTTTTCCAACAATAACCACTTGTCTAAATAGAAACTCAGAAAATTGAATATACTTCACAAAATGTATTTAATATTCCTTACCAATGGAATAAGAAAGTAATGTGATATTTAGAGAGGATCCCTATCTATGGCACTGTTCTCAGACCTAAGAAGGTGAATTCTCTTGAATATTTTATTTATGTATACCCCATAGTATATCTCCTATTTCAAAATATTCACTTCAAAAATATCAGTATAGGAATTATATAATTTTATAAAATGTATTATGCTGCATTAATAAACAGGATTGATGGAAAATTATTCCTTTGAAGTTTTTTTTAACCTGCAAAGCAATATGGCGTGTGCTCAGTTGTTATATACAAATATTCAGTCAGTCCTCTTCAGAGACAAAGAAAGAATTAAGTCAAACTTGTCAGTAAAATGTATTAGTTGCTTTAAGAGGAATTTTTAGTTTATGAATGTTTAAATCCTTTCAATTCATGTCAATAAAAAATACATTTTTCTTAGAACATTAGTAAATCTGTAAATTTCAATTGAGTATCCACTTCACCAATTAGTAAGAAGACCTACATTTTATTATTGTGAGGAAAACTTTACCTCACAATGTAACAGTGTAACAGATGTCATTTCTGGTTTAAAAAATAACTGATTCAAGCACTAGTGCAAAAGTCAGAATTGACACACATGTAGTGTGTTTAATAAAATAAATATTTTAGAAGTTCTGCAATACTTTTATTTTTGCTTGAATATGCTAAAAAGACAGAATCTAAAATTAAGAGAAAGAAATATACTTAGGTTTTTGACATTGTAGTATTTTTGGAAAAATATAGAATAGATACTTTACCTTTGGTGGAACTTGAAGTGGCTGATACTAGAAGTCTAAACTAGAATATGATTGAAATATTTATATTACATATATAGCTAGTTACTTTACTGTTAGGCCTTCTCCTTTTGCAAATTCATGTGTTCTAAAACTCAGAAATATTGAATGATGTACTTAGGACAGCTTTAGAGATCATTTTTTTTTTTTCAGGATCCTCTGCTTACTGAGTTCTCTAAAGACCCAGAGATAATCACTGGTACAGTCAGAATTAGAGCTAGGTTGTCTTCATTCTCAGAATAATACCTTTGTGGACAGTGTCCCTATCTCCTTCTGATAATAGTTCAAACACTTACTGTGTTTTTATTGTCCTTCTGTGATGCTGGTGGTATAGTAAGAATGCAAAGGAAACTATGTGAAGTGTATGCATGAATTTAGATTTTAAACCTGCACTGGCATAGGGCAATATTTTCTACATTCCCATCAAAATGAACAAAGTTAACATTATATCATTTTAATGAAACACATTCAGTGTTTACCAATTTTAACTTTAAATGGAAACATTCCATTTTAAAGACTTGACAGTGTTCTGAAGTACATTGCATTTTCTCTAAAATTTATTCTAAGGGAAGAAGATCATTGAGGTCCTTCAGAGTATAGTCAAATATAGATAGATAGAGAGAGAGAGAGAGAGAGACACACACACACACACACACACACACACACACGATAGTAAAGCCATAGCCAAGTCTCTGTCTCAGAAATAACTCGCAGTGGACAAGTTGCTTAAGAAAACTAATGCAGAAGATGACCTGAACTAATCTCTAGAGGTCTAAATTTGTCCAAATGATTTTCTGAGTTAATAATCTGGAGACAAATGTGAACACTGGTAAGCCTGCAGAAAGATGCTTATTGGAATTGGGACAGTTATCTTTACAAGAAAAATCAAATACCACAATTAAAGGTAACAAAAGGAAAGGAAATAAGAGAATGGATTTGTATAGAGAATTGTCAATCTGTGTATACATACAAAGAAAGGGCATATGACTAACAGGGTTGGTTTATTTTTTTCAACGTTTATTTATTTTTGGGACAGAGAGAGACAGAGCATGAACGGGGTAGGGGCAGAGAGAGAGGGAGACACAAAAATCGGAAACAGGCTCCAGGCTCCGAGCCATCAGCCCAGAGCCCAACGCGGGGCTCGAACTCACGGACCACGAGATTGTGACCTGGCTGAAGTCAGCTGCTTAACCAACTGCGCCACCCAGGCGCCCCTAACAGGGTTGGTTTAATGGAAGAGTCATAGAGAAATGTTTTTAGTCTCAGATTCCATTAAAACAAACAAACAAACAAACAAACAAACAAACAAAACAAAGGAATAACCTTGCTCTTTTGGAAAATTGATTCTCTGGACACACTGGAAAAATACAGGCAGACTATTAAAATAAATGTTTTCACATGGATGCAATAGAGAAGAATTTTTTTCCCAAAATTAACTGGTTCAGTTAAACTACTACCAAGTATTTGAAAGCAATTATGTTACGTAAATGTTTAAACAAATATATTACCATCTTGCATTGTGTATGACAGTTGATCTGTGATTATCTTGACTAATGAAAAATCAAGTCATTTTCAGTGGGTTTTAGCATATATCATGTATATACTTTGATTAAAGATTCATATTTCTGACTTTACTTATGGTACTATGTAAATCAACTGTAGATATTAGACTTTTTTGATTCTGAGTGTCAGAATATAGCCATTGATAACTATCTATCTATCTGTCTATCTATCTATCTATCTATCTATCTATCTAATCACTAGCTTATAGTATGTATGTGTTTATATGTATACAGATAGCCATAAGCCTTCAAACATATATTTGAATCATAAATTCTTAATTATATAGAGACAGAAGCAACTGAAGACATGTCTGTCTGATGAATTTGGCATTGAGAAGGAAAAGCACATTATTTTCTTATATTTAATGTTGTAATTGTTTTAAGAAGATGAAGATAGGGTTAATTGTTGAAATGCTTATATCCAATTTATTCAGGTTTTCTGCCTCTAAGTACGTTATGATGAGTTATTTACAAATCTCTAACATAGGCACCAGAAGAGAACCTAAAACTGTTTGAATGAGATATTGAAATTAACAATATTATATGATTTTTGCTATGGATTATTCTCCCACTCTTTTTAAACTTACTAAGTGATTATGTACAAGTCTTCCTCTGAACATATCAAAACCACTTAAACAATTTAATCAACTTATTATTATATAAGAATTTTAACATTAAGACGAAACACTACTCTAACAGCTCTCTATAAGACCATCTGGAAAGAATATCACTAAATGATTTTGAAAACATTTGGAATAAGATGGTAATGATACTCATATTGTTAACAAATCTATAAACACACATTAAAATAGAAATCTTTGGTGGTCTTAATAAAAATGATAACATTTTATAAGTTATGTGTCAATGCTGCAGTTTGTATTTGCTAACATTAAAAATAGATTTTATTATGTATAAAATATGATTAAGACATATATTTAAGTATGTGCTCAAAGAGACAAAGTCTTAAAATGAGACAAATTTAGGAAATGGATAAAAAGAAAATGAAATAATCAGAGTGCAAATGATACAGATGAAACTTTAGAAGAAATATTGGCTAATGACATACATAATTGCTAGTTACATGTCCTAGGAGAGACTTTTAACTTAAGTTCAGTTTGACAATGTTCACCTAATAAAATGATCTAAATTATCATAATATGTTAAAAGTTGATATACTCTACCTAAGTTAGTATAATTTTATGTAGATTTTATGATAGTTTATGTGGGGAATAAGCTTAGGAATTTCCTGGGCTTATACCAATGGATTAACAAGGCATAAAGAAGCACAAAGCCATAGGATGCTCACATCCGAGTTTGGGTAAACAAGATTGGGACCCCAGAATAGGGGGTGCAAAGGCACCCCAGAATAGAGAGGGGGTTCAAAGGAACCCAGCATAGAGAGGGGGTGCAGAGCCCCCAGATTAGAGATGGAGGGGGCAAAGGGCCTCAGAATAGAGAAGGGTGCAAACGCACCCAATACAAAGGTACATGAAGTAAGCAAGATTAGGCGTTCAGGGCAGAAGCACCCCCCCAATTTAGTACTATAACAGAAAGCTGAATTTAAGGAGGAAAGGACCAAGTTAGGTAAACAGATAAATAGAGCTATAGACCGCTGCTCTGGGGGTGATGCTGCCCAGAGTGGAGCTGATTAACAAAAGTAAAGGTGCCTTGTTAACCCTGAGGTTATTTGTTCTATCTGTCTTATCCCCTAGACTAGCTAAAATAAACAGACACGACGCCTCCTGTCTGCCATTAACAACCACCTGCCCATCTGCCAGGCACCAGGATTTTGTTTTATATTGGCCCAAACCCCAAACACTGTATATCTTCAAAACCCCCTTTTCCCTTATGCCCATTAGTTAATGTTTACAGTTTCTCTGTCTCTTTGTGCATGCCTGTCACATTTGTAAGCCTGCTGATCTTAATAAATACCGGCGAGGATGGTTATTCAGGGCTCTTGTATTTTGCAGACATTAGCCATCTCTTGCTTTTCATCCTGTGTCCTGCTCTTTTCCTGGGCAAAAGAGAACTTTAGAGTTAGAGTCTACAAAAAGTTTATATATAAAGATTTATTTCAGATCTATTTCTACATAATTATTAAATCGTATAACTTCTATTTTCAGAAATACACTGTAATTACACTAATTCTAAAAAATATTAACTTGTAAAAATGAAATAAATATTTAATTAAAACATGGCAAGATGTGCATTTTCTCTCCTCTATGATTTTGAATATTTGTTTTATGGTTCCAAGTAAAGGGTTATTGGTGTAAAGGGAATGTTAAAAGTAACAAGGATGTCTACATATAGAATAATCTGGGAATACATTGTTCCAAAAAACTAGAAGTTACTTTCTTATACTGTCTCTCACTTCAATAAAAAGAATATTAAAGATATATATCAAAATGCACTTTCTTTATGCTGCCTTAAAGGCAATATAGGTACACTATGACTTAGAAGGCCTCCATCCAATGTTCAGTTTCTATATTCAGAGACCTTTTTTTCAGACACATTTTAGCTTATATTTTGTTACATTAAAACATAATGTCTTGCATAAACAAGTAGAATACAGCCCTTATTTTTAAAGTGAATATTCAAAACAGAAAAAAAGCATACACATTTATATCAAAGTTAACTTTTTAAACAAATGAGAAAATCTAAAGATATACACTTTTATTTCTTGTTTTTATTAAGATGAGCTTTCTGATTACTTTGCTTTGTAATATATTTAGGACATTTTTTGTTCTAATGCAAGATATTTTTTAAATATACATGTAAATTATATTTAATTTTCAGATCAAAATGAAATTAATATCAATGACTATTGATTGGGTGAAATAATGTCTTCAAATAGCACATTGCATTAAGTATAGTATTCCTCAACATCACTCTTCCAAGTGACTATGTACTTTTGAAAAAATATGATCCTAACAAATGGTGATAAAGTTTCTTTCTAAACTTGTAGCTGAATATGCTGCATTTATTTTTTCCCACTAGAAGTTATAGCTTTAGGAATTTGTCACTTTCAGAATGATGGTCAAAATAGGCCACATTTTATCATAAAAAATAATTTAAGGCCTTATATTTTCAATACTTTGAGTTGTTGTTCTGTATTTACATTTTTATTTGAAAGAAAAGATACGATGATTCTACATTTGTATAAAGGCATAGGGAGGAGTGAATATAACATAAAAATAAATACATTGATATGGTTAAAACAAGAAAACATTGGGTAGGATGGTAACTTGGGGTAAAGCAGAGGGCAAATGGTTAGCTTAGTTGACAGAGATATGTTTGTTTACATTGTATAGGAAGTGGTTGAAGCAGAGAAGCTTTGTGGTATGGTTTGGGAATTTTAGGTTTTATGTTAGGTAATATGCACATTCACTTCAGTGTTCTTAGCAATATGAAAATCGTGCTTAAGGGAGTATTAATTACAACTTCACAAAAATTAATGGGAGAAGTTATGAGAATGGAATCTTGGTGGAGGTTCTGAGGCAACCTGCTAATAATCGCCTGTAAACTATTCAGACTCTTGAGTGAAAGTTAAAGGTGGAACTTAAATGAACTTTGTTAAGGTTGGCATAATATAGTAGCAATTAAAAATAGCAAGTCACATGAGAAAGGTCTTTTTGTGTCTACGTCGAGTGAATCTGTGAATCTGCCACCTTCTCAGTATGGCTTTCTACTATAGGAATAAGGACTTAAGGATTTCTGGTAGTAGGGTATTCTGTTTGACCTATTAATTATTTAGTAGTGTATTATTTAGTTGCCTAAATTCTCAACACATTTATTTAGACTATACCTTGTTTTAACCAGGTTAGTGGCAAAAAAATAATAATAAATAAAAACTTTTGCAAGACTTGAGAGACACGACATCTCTGTGACTTCACTGTTATTTGCTTTTACTTGTGTCATTAGTATCATCGACCCGTTTTCTCTGCAAGTATCTTTGTTAGTCATCTTTCCAATTTATAAGTGTTAGTTTAACTAAAATTATATCATTTAATCTAAACATTCATCCAACAGGGAGCATAGAAGGGAAAATAGGTCCTAGTATGCTAACGGTATACCAGTGAATGAGGACCTCAATAAAATCCCACTGTATTTGGGACCCTTACTCTCCTCAGGTTATGTCTCATATTATGTATGATGCATGGTTACAAGTATGAGTGTGAGAACCAGTGACAGTCTGCATATTAGCCACTAGTGAGATGTAATGTCCTCCAACATTTACAGCGAAAAGAAATTGAAATATCTGTGCTAATAACTTACTTTTGCTGCTCAAAGGATGACACATCTATCTTCTGAAAACAGATTCTGAGAAGGAGAAAAACATGAGAGAAATATAATAGTTATTTTCTTGAGACGAACACCTATGTAAAGAAAGGGAAAGAGTCAGGATCAGTCATAGGGAGAATGGGTGTAATGTTACCTTATACAAGGTTTCTGCTGACCTGAAAGTGAACTCTCAAACATGTTTTTCCTCTCAGTATTGTCCTGAATTATGGCAAAGGACTTAGGCCTTCCTGGGATGCCCCAGGAAGATCACTTGACCTTTGGTGAGATTATCTTCAGCAGTGACAATTCATAAAGAACTCTCACAGTCTAAGGCTTTTTGCCAGCAGCTGGGGTCTGAGAGGGGATCTGGACAGCATATCATAGTATTCACTACAGCATTCCATTTATGGTACTTTTAAAAATGATTATGAAATGTAATTACATTATGGCAACAAATGATCTAAGCACAGAGTTTCAGATATATATTTGGTATTTGCCTAATCAATGTAGCCATGCAGTTGAAACTTCAACAACAGATTCATTTACTCAAAGATTATCACAAATCTGATTTGTGTCAATCATTTGCCTGAGGATGCAAATATCAGTAAAGCAAAACTGATAGAGTAACACTGGCATGCAAATGCATAGTTGTAATAAAGCATCATAGGTACTTCGAAAGAAGCATGTATTAAGTTCAGGGGAGGCAAAGACATTAAGTGTTCTATTTTATGTAGGAGATAAAAGTAAATAGGGAATCTGGTAAAGTTTCATACCAGGAATAACCTTTGAACTGATTACTAAAAGAGCTGGAGAGGTTGTCTGAGCAGATGATGGAGTAAAACAAACAAACAAACAAACAAACAAAAAAACAAAAAACAGAGTATTCGTTATAGACAGAGAGCAGAATGAATTTGGTTGATAGGCATTGGGCAGCATGGTGCATGAGAACAACCCATAGGCTGGGAAGTGCAGTCAAGCATTAGGTCCTGGAGAGGCTGAATTCTTTTGTCAAGAGTCAGAACTTTTACCCATGAGAAATCAGAGAGTCATTAAAGGGTTTTACACAGGGATAAATATGACAATATTTAAATTTTAGAAACGTCATTCCTGAAACTATGCAAAGAATGAAAGGGGAAACTAGTTAATGGAATGTTACAATAGTGAAGAAATTATATAAGTAGTAAATACAGTGATAAAAAGATAATTTAAAAATTAAAAAGAAAATATTCAAGACTATGTCCAAAACAAAAATTTAAATTTGTATCTGCATATTATTTTTTCTATCAAAGAACACTGTACATTTTCCATGCATTCAATTCTATCTCAGTGAGATTTTGGAATTTACTTAACAAACTTATGATTTCCTTTGCATTAAGACAATGCCAAGAGAGCACACCTGGATGACCTGCTTTCTTTATTTCCTGACAGTAATCTGCTGGGACATAGATTGCAAACCAGCTGCTCATTTTTTTTTTTTTTAATGAATGATGATGTCGTGATGATCATTATTTGGCACATTTTTATATTTATTTATTTTTAAAATATATTGTCAAGTAAGCTAACATACAGTGTATATACAGTGTGCTCTTGGCTTTGGGAGTAGATTCTATGATTCATTGCTGAGTAGTCTACCTGAAAATTCTCAAGATGTCCTATTATGCTTTATTTTTCAGTCCTTTAATGAATTAATTATGTCATTGACTATATATATAGTCAAGTTAGCTAACATGCAGTGTAATCTTGGCTTCAAGAGTGGATTCCTGTGATTCATCACTTACATACAACACCCAGTGCTCATCCCAACAAGGGCCCTCCTCAATGCCCATCACCCGTTTTTCCCCACCCCTGTCAACTGTCAGTTTGTTGTCTGTATTTAAGAGTCTCTTATGGTTTACTTCCCTCTCTGTTTGAAACCATTTTTCCCCTTGCCTTCCCCCTATGGTATTCTGTTAAGTTTGTCAAGAT